CACCGTCGGTACAAACACCGACGCATTTTATCCAGTCGATTCCATTCTCTTCGATAAATTCATTCAGAAGCTGAAAGATGTGCTCTCCTGTAGTTCCTGTTGGTAGTGGTTTACAGAACTGAATGTCATCATGGGACATGCCCTCAAACTCGTATCTAACGTTAACAAGCAAGTTGGCCAAATCAACGACATCTACAGACTCATCTAAATGCAATGAAAAGCATCTGCTCATCTTAACGCGCTCCATCAGCGTACTTTTGACATTATCTGCCATATCAATAATTTTACGAGTGACTTAAAGGGGCAGCAGGTTGAGCTGTTTAACAGCTTTTTCTCCACACAGGTTCTTCACAAATAGTGTGGGGCGTAACTGCTTTAGAAATCTGCAAGCTTGCATTTTTCCCCGTTTATGTTTCAGGAGTCCATCTCAGAAGTTAAAAGAAGTTTTTATTTCATGCGCATGGGAGCAAAACACAGAGACGCTCTGTATTTTTCTCAAATTAACCTAGAACAGTCCTTAAATATTTTTCTGTTACCTATCACACTTTCCTGTGCTCACAAGATTGTCAGTGTTCCAAAACCATGCACATTCTCCTACCTCCCTATTTGCTGAAGATACCTTTTTTTTAATACAATTGCTCACTAACATTCATAGTACGCATTTCTATGCTTTCCTTTGCTTACAACATTGGCACTGTTCCAAAATCACGCACATTCTCCTGGCTCCCTATTTGCTGGAGATAATCTTTTTTAAAACAATTGGCCACTTACGTTCGTAGCATGCATTCCTTTTGGTATAGAACTACATGGTAACTCTTGTGTCCACCCAAGTATTAGCGCGCTGTATCATAGTACATAGGTTGCGTATTTGACACCTAAAGTCTTTTTATTAAAATAGAAAATATGAAAACCCATCTCAATTTTTCAGCGCACACAACAAATTTCCAGGGTCATCTGGCGTATCACCTGGGGGCGCTCCGTATCATAGGTTGACAACCGTGGGCCTTGAGTATGGTACACATACTGTATATATGGTGGAGCCTCTGCAGAAACAAGTTGTCAAGAAATTTTGATAAGTACCATTCTCCTTTAGGCTACAGAATGTATAGATAATATCCACAAAGCTCATTGACTAGCACACAGGCAACCGTGAAAGTAGGATATGATTGTGTTCTATTTATCAGTCAGGTCTCTTGTTAACAATATATTTAGCCAACATGATGATTAACTCCAAGATAATTGTTCTTTGATGCTTTGGCATTCTGTGACACCGATGACCACCCAAACAGTGCCAGAGGAAGCTTCCCACACAGGCTACTTGCTAATTAGCTTAATCTAATCACTGGAATGAGTTTTAATGGAAACACAATTCTTTTTACTTCTTTTTACTGCTGTTGAATGTTCTTCCTTTGTAATTTGCAAATGAGAGCATTTGTAGTTTTTAATGTTAGTGATTTTCATGTTTTTTTTAAATTACTCAATCATACATTATACTGACAGGTCTTTTGGAACATGCTGTAACACACCCCTTTCTACTAAATGTATTCATAGGCTTCAGCAAACGGCAATCAAATGGCAATACTCAGAAACAGAGTTCCACTCCATGACAACCATATTCTAAAATGCACACCTAAACAAACCTGTGAATAACACTACATACTACATAGCACTACCGCAGACACCAAAGAATCACTGTTGCGCATGAAAAGGTTTAAGTAAGAGAATGTGAATTTCAAAACATTAAGTACTATACAATTATCTCTTTAAAAATAAACAATTAAAACTTTTGTTATTTAACAAGTTCTACCAGAAATTTCAAACGGTAATGTTACAAGCTGAGGCAGATGTAATACCTTACAAGTGTCAATATTTCCACTTCCTAGAGCTTCAGATAAAGAGATGTTTACTTAGTTGTGCTGGGTGTGAGAAACACTGTCCAAAAGAATCTTCCGTTTACTTTAGTTAACTAAATTTTGGGTAAATGATTAAATGTCAATCAACAGTCCCAAAAAACACAATATTAGATCAGATCAAGAAAGAAAAGAGGAAAAAGAAAAAGGGCAGGTCAAGAGGAGACAGAAAAAGACAAAACATAAAGCTGGTGCCAGGAGTTCCTTGCTAGGAGAGCTTGAATTTCTGACTGAAGAATCCCTCACTTCAAAACTGCCTCTTCTGCTAACTGGTGCATTTTAGAATAGGGAGTTAGGCTCCCATTTATTTTGTGGCATTCGGGTTAGAGGGAGAGAAATGTAATTGAAGGGTGTATTTTATTTAGATTAGAAGGCAGCTTCTCCTTTCTTTGGCTTCTGTATCCATTATTTAACAGTCAAGTACTTGGTAGCAACCCTAGGGTTTTCTGGGTAGTCTGAAACACCTGGTATGTAAACTTGTAAATACAGTAAGTTGTGTGTTATATGTCTATGGTGTGTGTAGTGTGTGTTATGGTTATTGTTAATAAATATTTGTTTAACCAAGTGTTAACCAAATCAGCAGCCATATCACTCTGCAACTCACAACCCACTGAAGGTAAGCAGGTGTGAGCCTGGTCAGTACCTGGATGGGAGACCTCCTAGGAAACAGTAAAGTTGCTGCTGGTTAAGCTGTTAGTGGGGCCAGCAGGGGGAGTTCACCCTGCGGTCTATGTGGGTCCTAATGCCCCAGTATGGTGACGGGGACACTATACTGTAAACAAGCGCCATCCTTCGGAGGAGATGTAAAACCGAGGTCCTGACTCACTGTGGTTATTAAAAATCCCAGGGTGTCTCTTTAAAAGAGTAGGGGTGTAACCTGGCCAAATTTCCCATTGGCCCTTATCCTTATCCTAATAATCCCCATCTTGAATTGGCTTCATTACTCTGCTCACCTCTCCACTGATAGCTGATGTGTGGTGAGCATTCTGGCGCACTATGGCTGCCGTCGCATCATCCAGGTGGATGCTGCACATTGGTGGTGGTGCAGGGGAGTCCCCATTACCTATAAAGTGCTTTGAGTGGTGCATCCAGAAAAGCGCTATATAAGTGCAAGCAATTATTAATTAAGTGTACTTGAATTATTACTCTTTTCATCAAAGCTGTTCCAGAGAACAAATAATTCATGAGACTCTAACTATACCAACTGCTCGGGAATATTCTTGCGCTGTGAGTGGAGTGTCCAGAAAAGCACTATACAAGTGAAAGCAATTATTATTATTATAAGATCTTGAAAAGCAACTTCTCAAGCTGCTTTACGGGAAAAAATAACAAATATAAGAGATAACAAAATTAGCACAAAGATACATAAGGGATTAGAAATGTAGTAGAAGATGCAAGGAGAAGACAGATGCCAATTACATAATAGTCTTTCTTAAGAAGAAAGTTTTGTATCAGGATTTGAATGCACTTAGGTGCAGGTAGGTGACTCTCTGATATCATTTGAGATAGAATTCCAGAGCTTTGGGGCATAACTAGAGAAGGCCCTGTCACCCATAGAGTGTAAGTGAGCTTCTGTGACAAACAGGAGACAAGATAGACAAACAAAAATTGTGAGGTGGAGTGTAGAAAGATAATAAACCAGATATGGACTTAGGTGCCAAGCCATGAAGAGCCTTAAAGATAAGCATGAGGATTTTACAATACAGGAGGAATAAAATCACTTGCACGAGACCTGGTCAAGATTCTGGCTGCAAAACTCTGGATATACTTAAGTTTGTTTAGTGTGAATTTAGATACCTCAGCGAGAAGGGTACTGCAGTAATCAATTCTGGAAAAGACTGATTTGCTGACCAGCTCTTCTGCTACAGTCAGAAACAACAGCAATTTTTCTGTAATGGAAGAATTATGTTTTTATAATATTTTGCACTTTTGATCCAGACACACATATCACCCCCAATCTCTTCAGTTTAGATTGTACTTGAATGTACAGTGCCCTCCACAGATTGGGTTTCTGCACTGGCTTTAGATAATTGATGGGAGGTACCAAGAAGCATGACTTAATTCTCGTTGCAGCTTAAATGAAGGAACTTTTGAGTCATCCAGGGTTTTATGTCAGAGATCCAATTAAAGAGGTGTTACTTTCAGGGTGTTACATATTTTATTCTTTGTTTCTGTAGCATTCACATTAAAGTATGAAAGATCCAAAAAAGACCAACTCAAGAAAAGCAATTTCTAAAGTTAAAACTAACAAATGTTCCAGCGACCACTGCTCTTTGTGGTCCAGAAACAGGGAGACTCACCTCGTAGGTATAATTGGGACAAGAGACCAGCAAGAAGAGCCATGTGAAGGGATTCTTTGTGGGGTAGGGAATCTTCCGGGTCTTGGAGCCTAGGGGACAGAGAAAGAGGCCAGTCTAAAATCATATCAACTTTTGGTTAATGTTAAATGACCACCAGTGTTTATCAGGGTGGAGTCTCTGCATGTTCGCAGTGGTCGCCTGTGAATCTTTCAAATCCACGGCAAGCTCCATATTCACCCTAACATTACTTAAGCATATTTGCTTGACTTGATAATTTATTCTAAAGCATTGCTTTATCTTTTGCTTTTCTTTTTCCTAATTAGCTGGATAACTCTCAAGCGGTCTGGCAAACTCCAAATGGGCTTTAAGAGTTCTTTTTGAGTTAGGGCTTCTTTCCTGCCACTCTCCTATGCAGGCCAGTGTTAGAGCTCTGGATATAGTTGACTGATGCACCTTCACTCCACTCTCAGCCACTCTTTCAGGTTCATTGTTGGCCTTTCAGTGGCTTTCCTCACAGGTCTCCTTCTTGTGAGGATGCTGACTTTTCAGGAATGGCCTTTCCTAGGCAGTGTCTGGGTAGCGTGATGCAGTTTCCACTTTTTGACTGAACTAACAGCGCTAACTGGGATATCCAAAAACTTTTGTTTTGGACTTTTTACTTATGTATGCATTTTTGTTACAATGTTCTTTAGTCTTTTTTCTACCTTTCCTTAAAATTCACTGCCTCACCAATGATCCCTAAATAGACTGGAGATTTTATCCAGTTAATGCAATAATCACTTCAATGGCAAACAGTCAGAGGCCAATGGTACGGCAATTATATCCATGTTAGGGCAATTTATTTAACCTCAGTAAACTACCAGAGCACAGGATTCTGAATAAAGAAAGCAGGATATCTCAGCTTTTTTACTTTCTTTAAGATATCTGCTGACAAATAACTAATTTTGTCTTTAAACATTTTCTGTTTAAGCTTGTGAGTTTGCAATAAAACCGCTGATTGGAAAAAGATGTGCAAGTATCATCTGTGCTCAGTCCAGCTTTGCACTCTGTGCTACTAAGATTAGAGGCTTTGTGGTGATGAATGAATAAATTCTAAGGATATATTTACTATTTTTAATTTTAAGCCTTACTAATAAAAGTGAATTGAACTGAGTAAGAGGCAAAACAAAGGAGGCTCTGACAGTGACAAAGTATGACAAAGAACATAAAAGAGACAAGCACGATGCAAAAGCCAGTAGTTTGAATTACAAAGTGTACTTTAAGTACTTATGCCAAGGTAGACCCACAACAGCAATTATCACAGATGATGTCAACAGATGAGAGATCTTCTGGCATTTATGGAAAAGCAGAGGCGATTAAAAATTAAACCAATGTTAAATTCTCACTCCCCATCAAACCTTCACACATGTTCCGAGTCCGACCTTCAACACTGCCCTTAAAAATGCTGTTGGACAACAACACTGTGCATTATACAAAACTGATCTTTCAAAGAAACTATTGTTTAGAAAAATGCACGTAAGCAATGCATGCTATCACACATACAAAATTTATGCAATGTGACTGTATAGTACACTACTCGCAGAGCATCAAGGCTGCTTTTTCTATTAAGCATACATTTAATACTGCTTCAACACGTTTACAATGGCATTGGAGTGGTGACAATGTTATATTAGTTTAGTACAAAATGCTTCTAGCTGCTGAATGTGCAAAACAACAAAAAGGTAATAGGTTATGTGCAAAAATATGCATCAACAGAATAAAATAAAGGGATAGAAATTATGGGGAGTGAGCTTTTGACATGTATGATAGAGGTAGATTTTCAATGTGTGTTTGGGTTTTTGGTAAGAAAGAAAGAAGGCACTGTGAGGTTCAGATCATAGGTGAGAAGTGAAGTGAGAGTGAGAGTGGCTGGGAATTTAAGTTTGATAGTGCGGGGCTAAAAACTGTCTCTGAGTCTGGTAGTCCGGGCCCGAATGCTCCTGTACCATTTTCCAGATGGTAGCAGATCATAAAGTCTGTAGCTGGAGTGTGTGGGGTCTTTGATTATGCTTAGAGCTTTCCTCAAGCACCGTCTGTCATAAATGTCCTGGATAGATGGGAGGGTAACCCCAGTGATGGACTGGGCTGTTTTCACCACCCGCTGTAGGGCTTTGCGGTCAGCAGCACTGCAGTTGCCATACCACACTGTGATGCAGCCTGTCAGTGTGCTTTCTGTAGTGCATCTGTAAAAGGTAGTGAGGATCTGGGGACATATCTTGGCTTTCTTCAATCGTCTTAGGAAGTACAGGCGCTGTTGCACTTTCTTGATCAGACAGGTGGTGTTGAGAGACCATGTGAGGTCCTTGGTGATGTGGAGGCCAAGGAATTTAAAGTTACTGACCCTTTCCACTTCAGTCCTGTTGATGTGGATAGGGGCATGTCCGGTTTGCAGTTTCCTGAAATCAACGATCAGCTCCTTGGTTTTGCTGACGTTGAGGGTGAGATTGTTGTCATCACACCATGTTGTAAGGAGATTGACCTCCTCCCTGTAGGCCCTCTCATCATTGTCTGTGATCAGACCTACAACTGTGGTGTCATCGGCAAACTTGATGATAGAGTTGGTGTTGTGTTTGGCCTTACAGTCGTGGGTATAGAGGGAGTAGAGCAATGGACTAAGCACACACCCCTCGGGGACCCCAGTGTTCAGAGTTACTGTGCCGGAGGTGTGGTTTCCAAGCCTGACAGCCTGAGGTCTGCCTGTCAGAAAGTCCCAAATCCAGTTGCAGAGGGTGGTGTTGAGACCCAGTGCACTGAGTTTCTTGACTAGTTTCTCTGGGATGATAGTGTTAAAAGCTGAGCTGAAGTCGATGAATAGTAGTCTTGTGTATGTGTTCTTTTTGTCCAGATGGGATAGGGCCGTGTGTGTGGCAATGGAGATTGCGTAATCTGTGGATCTGTTGGACCGGTAGGCAAACTGGTACGGGTCCACTGTGTTTGGGATGGTGTCCTTAATGTTCTTCATGACCAGCCTCTCGAAGCACTTCATGATGACAGGTGTTAGTGACACTGGTCGGTAGTCATTAAGACATGTCACTGTGGTTTTCTTTGGTATTGGGATGATGGTGGTTGTCTTGAAGCAGTTCTTATCATATTTAGTATAACTAAAATACCCTGAGCCTAGCACACTTCATCTTCTGCTTAGTTCTCTGTATCCATTTCTTAACTCATTCCCATCTTTCTCTCCTTGAAAATGTTCTCAAACATCAATCATTTCCACTGCAAGCTCTTCCCTAGCCACTGCTAGTGTAACAGAACTTTATATAAGCTGAGTGAACTTCTGTACTGTGAACCTTTACACTGAGGTTGAAATGCTATTGGTTTAATATTCAGGATGACTCTTAAGAGAATTTCCCTTTCTCTGGTGCTGGGAAGTACAATAATCCTTATGTTGCTCTCACCTTTGCTGCCCGAAAAGCCAATTGCCCCATCTCTTCATAAATATATCAATGGCGTAAAATGTTTGCTTGGAAAAAGTATTGGTGCTTTCTGAAGGCACAATAAATTAGCCTTTTCTTTTACTTCAAAAACAGAAAATAAAGCAAATTATTTAGTCTTCATTTGATAATTAACAGTTCTTAATTCTTGAAGTTAGCATTAGGAAACTGAGAATTCATCAGTTGAATTCCCCAACAGACCTTAGAACGATGCCCTTTTACTCAAGATTTTGACAAATTAAACAAAGCTATTTGGCCTGCACCCATCAGTGTTGTAAAAATAACCAAATACAGTTCTGACTGGATGCCTGAAAAGTGCAGTCATCCAGTCACATGCCTGCTAGAAGGCAACCATGGGCTTGCACTTCACGCTGTGTTGATGGGGGCTGAATACGGCAGAGATTAGTTATAATTGTCTTCACTGACGAGAAGCTCAATGAAATCAGCTCACTAAAGATATACATTTTAAACAGATAGGAGTGTCTCACACCAGTGGACATCCAATGGGAAAACAACTGTAAAACAAGTAGTGCACCTGCACAAAGACAGGCCAAAATATTAGGAACCCCTGTCACAATTTAAAATTGGAAAAGCTAGCTAAAGTTAGCTGAAATCTGTTAAGAAAACAAGAAGCCACCAGCAACTTACAATTTTGTAACATTTAACAAATGGCATTTAAAGAAAATGTGTCTGTAATTTTAGTACAAGTCAATCCCCTTAATCACTCAAGAAAGCTAGCTTGAAAGGCCATCTCTCTTTGCTCTGGAGACTTCACGTTTATGTTTAAAATAAAAAAATCACAGGAATCAATTTTCTACACAATTGTAAAGGAAGCACAGAATTTGAAACAGAGTGCAAACATTTGTTCAGCACCAAGAGACTCCGGATTGTACATTGTTACGTCCCAGTGTGTGGTCCATGTGTGTTTTGTTGCTATGTTTCACACTTCCTGACCTTGATTGTTCTCCCTCCTCCATTGGTCCATCATTACACAATTGTTTCCCTGTGATGTCATCATCAATCAGCTTCTCAGCCAATCAGAGTGCAGCTTATTTAGTATATAAGTTGGAGGTTTTCTGAATTCGTTTGTCTTCGGTTCCACTCGGCTTAGCTTTGGTTTCGTTTCGCTTTTGGTTTTGCTTCGGCTTCGTTTCACTTCGTGTGTGTGTGTGTTATCATATAGCTTCAGCTTTGTTGTTTTGTTGGTTTGTGTTAGTCTCTTTGTACTTTCGTTTGTTTTTGTGTTATCCTTGATTAGCCATTACCTTGCCCAGATGTACTGTATCAACCTCTGTGTTCTTTTGTACCCTGTTACTTGTTTCTACTCTTGGTTTCCCTTATTGGTATTCGTAGTTCATTTGTGTATTTGTGCAAATTTTTGTGTATAGGGTTATTGTAGGTTGTTGGGTACAATTTGCACACGTAGCTGATTTTTGTATTAGTCGCACTAGTTTAGTACGGTGAGTGCCTTTTTTGTCTTGTATCGTTTTGGGTAGTCAGTGAAGGTTAGCTAGGGTGTTTGAAGACGCTGAAGACCGCGTGTTTCGGGTTTTCTTTTGTGGTTAGGTCAGCTTCCCTCACTTTCTTAGCCAGTTCCATTCTTTTTGTTGTTTTCTTTTCTTTGGCACCACTAGTTCCTTTTCACTGTGTTATTGTGTCCTATTACGTACCGTCACTTATTCACGTTAAAATAATCACTTTTGCATCAACCTTTGTGACATGCTTCCTAGTCCCTCACCAGAACCCACCTGTATCCAAAAAATATCCTAAATGTTACACCCCTTTACCCTAGACACTTGGGTCGTAACATACACATCCAGGCTGTACCATCTCCAGCTCTCTTAAACAATGTCAGTTTAATAAGTCTCTTCAACGTTTACCTGGTGGCCGAAGGTTTCTTAGCGCAATATGAATAGAGAAGTTTCCGATCTGACAGAACTGTAGAGGAAAAAAATACAAAGTTACATTTCACAATGAAGTATTGATGTTAACACAGGAAAGGTACTTGAAAGGGACACCTGAAAGTGCTTTTATGAATATTACATGAAAATGTAATATTCACTGATGTTATACAGCAAACTCTTCTGTTCTCATTTAAAGATTACCTACAAAGATAAATGATGAAAACACCACTGTGAAACTTGAGTTGATTTATAACCTTCTTATTCTCGTCTGCACACATTACTTTAAACCACTCTGTGCATTAATAATATGATTCACCTAAGAGCAAGAAGGTACAAAACAATGATGTGACACCTGACAATCAGAGATAAAACTATGATTTGATCCATAAATTCTGTTCAATTCAATTCAGTTCAAGGAAATCTTTTACTTTATGCTCTTTGCATTCTTTTACCCGGAGACAGTGGATATAAAACGTCTACACACCCTTAGTGAAATTGCAGGTTTTTGTGATGTAAAGCCAGAAATCAAGATAAATCATGTCAGACATTTTTCCATCTTTAATGTGATCTTGCAACCAACAGAATTCAAGAGAAAAACAAATAGATAATTATTAGGGAAAAAAACTACAACACCCTGGATGCATAAGTGTGGAACCCCCCCAACTAATACTTTGGGGAAGCACCTTTTGCATTTATTGCAACAGTAAGTTTCTATCAACTTTGCACACTTGGACTTTGCAATTTTATCCCACTCTTCTTTGCAAAAAAGTTAAAGCTTCTTCAAAGTGCCAGGGAATCAATAAGGGTGTATAGGCTTTTTATATCCATGTCTTGACATGCACTATTAACTGAGAAAAATAAAGAGTAAAATGTTTTATATTTGGCTTCCAAAAGGGGATGACCATTAAATGTATGGGAGCTCACTTCAGGTAGTCAGGTCTCTTCGATATGACTATAAAGTACTAAAATAAGGACTTTGGAATCCTCTGTCTGTAGTAATCCTCTGCAGTACATCTAAACTAGATTATTCACAAGCCAGGTCTTAAAAAAACATACCAGGAAAATAATTAGAGCAATCTTCACTTGCTGTTCTCCATACACTGTAAACAAAAATAAAAATCAATTTAGTAATTTGTCACAGAAATTGCCAACTAATCACCAACCCAGCCACTTAGCACAGGCAAGGAGAAATACAGAATATTTAATTTTATCATTAATTTTACTATCTCAGTTTGAAATTCTAAACTGTTAAATCATCTCACAATACAATCATTGGACCAACAGAGAGGGAAGAAAGTTTGTGTACACTTTGCACTTGGAAGCACAAGTTTTCACACTGGCCGAGAGCTGCAGATTGAGATGGAATAACCCAATCATATGAGTACCACTGACACAGCCAAGACTTGAACAAACAATTGTCTATAGGGCTCAATACCAGAACCAAATGAGTAGCTGGACCACTCAGCAACCATTTCCATACATGTCCTGTTTTGCTGAATTAAAAGTCACATATATGGTTTAAGTGAATATTTCTAGTCAAAACTCAAATCCTCAAGCTAAACAGTTTAATGTGTAAAATGACCTTAAATGTCAGTATAAACTTCCAAGAAAAATCCCAAACTATGTTGTTTGCTTAAGTATTCTCACAATTAGTTGGGTGGTCTCTGTGTTCAATAATAATGGGTCACATGATTTCAGAATAAATATATCTCTCTTAGTAAGGTTCCTCAGTCAGGTAGTGAATTTCAAGCATGGAATCAACAATGAAAACCAAGAAGAAACCAAGAAAAAATACTCAGGGATTTCGTCTTAGAAAGGCACAGATCAGAAAAGGAGTATAAAAAAATCCCCGGACACTGCTTAGATCAGGCTGTACTTCAAAACTGAGTAGCCAGGCCTTCATATAAAGCCTTCTGCCACATCTGCAATATGAGATTTAATATCCTTGGTCACATTTATAATCTTTTGTATTCCTATGCAAGTTTAGAACAAATTCTATACCTAAGAAAACTTAACAGAGATGCATTTATTCTGAAGTCAAGTTAAATCACAAACAGGCTATTATTACACTACTTTTGTGAACTTTCAAACTATTATTTTCCACTTGAACGGACTTAAGATTCCAGTTACAAAGGGGTTAAATAATTAAGCAATTTAGAATCTTCCATTATATTGTAAATGTCATGTACAGTAATGTAGCTTTAACACTTTTTGGCATGATTTTTGGAATAGATTGTTTTCAAACAAAGTCTGATTTGAAAGTGTCATTGACACTCAGAAGCCTCAAAAATGGGGAACTTCACAGGAGAGTGAATGTATTTGCAAGGCACTGTATCAACTAGTACAGTCACAGGTTAAAATAATCAGTATAACATCATATTTGATATTTTTCTTCTCTCTGGTAGCCATCTAAAAGGCACAGCAATTGAACAGTAAGAACAGGCCTGTCTGTGCACAGAACAGATACAGTGCTTACTTGGAGGTGTGTAGAAAGGGTGATTGATGTAGTATGCCATCCACGCTGCAAAGCCCCAATAGTACGTACAGTTCTGTGACAAAAAGTGTTAGAATCAAGGTATTGTATTATTTTAATCATCCATTCAACCATTTTTAGCCAACACTTTATCCTTAGAGGATCAGAGTAAGCCAGAGAGGGTTCCAGAATCCAAGCAGTTTGGAATCCAACATTTTACTTATGTCTTCCTAAAACGATCTACTCTTCCATTGTGCTGTTCTACAGATGTACAGCAGTTTCACTGTTTTATTACAATACTGTAGCAGCATATGATTGTGTAATGGTAAATGCATACAAAGCTTGTGAAGCAGGCAAAGTTTTGAAAGTCCCATGGCTCCTTCCTACCTTGAAGATGTTCCTTAGTGGCATGGTGCCATGAGAGAACCGGTGAACAAACAGCGTCTCCATTAGCCTTTTCACATAGTGGAAAGAGTGACACATGCAGGCCAGGCTGAGGGATGGAGCAAAGATCAGTCTGTTAATTACATGCAGAATTGTACACACTTATTCTAAAACTCGATTAGAGTAAAACTAGAGAAACTAAAACAACCTGTACTATAAAAGTCAAAATTCAGAAGAAACAATATAAACAAAATAAATTTTACACTTTCACCTCCCTTGCCATCCAAAGAAAGAATCTGAACTGAGCCAAAGTTCAGAGTGAAGATCAATACTTGTGCTCAGTAACAAGAGCATGAGGAATTAATACCAAGGAACATTAACATCTTGTATTTGTGAACTTGCACTGTATTCTGGCCTCTCGATATAATTTACTAACATGGATCCTTTAACTGCTAGGCCCCGTTACATGGGGGTTCCATAGCACCCGTTTGTATTTCAGGGGTCCTAAATTTGATACCTAAATACTATTTTCTTTATTACTCTACTATAAACACTGCCCTAGAACTAGTAGCATCAGCATCTGAATCCAGAAGATTTGTGATGAATTCAACACTAGGGCACACCTCTGACATTTGCAGGTTTCAAAGGAGATACTGCACTGTTGCCTGTCTGAGAGCGTTCTATGAAATCGAACTGGTGATGCACTTAGAATGGCCAATCAAATTTATTCAACAATCCTCTAGTCAGCATTACAAAAGCAATGTCCCTCCTCTGGCGACCTCTCAAGGAGGGTGACTTCAGAGAGGTGAAATCTGACCCTTACAAAAAATAGCTCAAAGCTGCTGCTTACTGTACAACCCAATGCTTGCTGGTGGTGAAGTCATATTTGGGTGGGTAGATGAAGGGGACCCTGAAGTAGAACAGCAGGTAGATGAGAAGAGGTCCAGTGTACTCAGTCAGGAACACCTAGAAAAGGAAAGAGACACTGCCACCATTAAGCAATTTGTGCCAACCTCTCATTAAAGATCTTATGAAAACCTTACCATACACTGCCAGAAACATTTCTCTTTTTGGTTGAAAATTTTGAATTTCAAATAATTTGAAACACCAGCCTAGTATGGAATCACCAATATTTTATCAACTTGGCTTGAGGGCTGGGACCAATAGTGTTCTAGGCTCTGGTTTCCCAACTGGAAGATCTAAGGAGTGGGAGTTGTGGAAAACCATGGAAAGCTGGAAAAGACTGGATCTACTGCATAATGGGGAATTATATTAAATTCCATTACTAAAAATATCCCAGATTTTGAAAAACTAAATTAGCTTTAAATTATACTAAGGTTTTTGTGCAGAGAAACAACATCAGACTTTGATCTTAAAAAAGGTAAGCAAGTGACAACAGCCACCTCATTACCGTACATAAAAGAAATGCTGTCCAAGGTGCTTGAATGCACAACAGGGAGCCTGGCCAGGCTGTATTCAAAATGAAATGAGAAGAATATTGTACAAACAAAATATTTAATTATATTATAAAACCTTGACATTAGGTAAAAAGGTTAAATATAATCCCAAATCTTTAGTTTGGTACCATTCCTTGGGATCACATTGGCATCCAAAAAAGAAAGCTAAAAGCCAGGAAAGACAAGCCAGGATAAGTGCACTTCAAAGAATTCTGTGCTGTTTGGAAGAGAAGCCACTTTGATTGTTTTATGGTTTTGGGCTTTCCAACACACCCCATTTTGGTACTAATGCATTCTTAATACCTAATTTCTGCAGTGATTAAAAAAGAGCCTGGAAACTTGCAATCTGTATATAAATACAGTAAAATCCCAGTTTAATGGACCAATGGGTTGAAAGGGTGTCCATTAAATAATGAATTATGTTTTTTTCTGCTCAGAAACACAGTATTACATGAGAAAATATATATACATTATAGATATGCTATCTGGATATGGAATCACATAACCACTCTGTGTATTAATATAACCTTTAATCCCCCCAGGCCAAAGTGACCTATATTGAAGTCAAATTTAGATCTGGCATAGTTCATGTAAGACCCCTGTAATATTCAATACAACTGGGAGTCTTTCACAAACTGGAGGCCTCCAGATAAACATGATCCCATTTAAACAATAATGATTGACCTGAAACAAATATATATAACATCAAAAGGTCTCCCAAACTCTCAAATAACTCAGACATAGAAATCCAAGTCTCTATACATTTCAAGCAGATTTGTAGGTGGTTAAAATACTGTGAAAAATAAATTACTTTATAAAACGTACAGGTTGGCACTAGGCTTCATCACAAATTCTGAACACATACCACTGTTGTTATCATTGTTATCCAAATACAATGACAAACCCAACATTTCAGGATGGGTTTCAATGGGGCAGAGGTACTGTAAGTAGTCTTCTGGCAAAGAGAAGGCCTCCATTTGTCATGTGTGGTTGTCAGGTGGGATTAAAAGATTCATCTTAAATATTGCCCTTAAATCTCTTCCAACATCTGCAGATAGCACTTACAGTGACCCAGCTGATCTGGGCTCCCAGGTCCCTGAAGTAAAGAGTGGCAGTGGTCCCCACAGGAAGATTCTGCAAAATATCTTCATCTTTTAGAGACTTGCCTTCTGCAGAGAGATAAAGGAGGAAGAGAATAGCATGCTACCATATCACTCCTGGCTTATGTTGCTACACTTACTTCTAGTGAGTGCTACAGTTAATTTTGAAGTAAATGTGTTTTTATTTATTGTTTACATAGCGTTATACCTCCTTTTCTGAACTATTGGTTCCTTAATCCCTTCACTGTCCTGCAGGTTAATAACAGGAATGTAACACAGATTGCAAGGTGATCTTGCTTTTAAGATACTATTCAGTAGGTTTTAAAAATCATCTGAAACAATTAACTTTATAAGGTGTTTTGTTAAGAGAAAAAAAAATCTACCAATACCATAAAGAAACAAACACATCTTTAAATGTACTTTTCATTATTAATTTTCTGATGTACTAATCTTTTGATCTTTTGAACAGCGGTTTTGTTTTAAAGATGGTCTACCGCACTTTGAAAAGTCTTGACAATCTGCATAAAATGATAACGGTGATGATGACCATGACCACAGCTATAATATCATAGTGTAATTTGACGGCTTTTATGTCCAAATAAAATGTGTTAATTTGTGCCATTTATAACCATTTCCAAAAAAGTCCAACTTTATTTCCTGAAACAATGATGAAAAGGAGGAGTTTCAATTTCCTTTCCCGTGTCTCATTTGACAGATCTTCAGTCTGAATGTTGAACAATTCACAATAGAGAATAAACTTGGCTTTGGACCAAATAATTCATTTCAAATTATTCAAATGGTCTTTTTTATTACCCATTAGTTACACCAACGGGAGAAATCTGCCTACAAGTTATTTAGCTATTCGTCAATTCCAGTCCTGGACTTTGGTCATGCAGGGGTGGTAAACAGAAAGCCGCTCACACCTGCTAAAATAACACCAACTGCAGGACTTTTCCTCATATTCAAGTTTAGAGATACAGTATGAGAAAGCAATAACAGCTATTATGGATGGCAGAGATGAACAGCTTTGTGCCTCCATAGCAAAAGCACAGGACCTTACAACAAATACAGCCGTTGGACCTTGCTAATTGATCTGTGGCATGTTTTGTACATCCTTGTTGACCATTTGTTGGGGAATGAGGCAGAAAAAGAATGGCATTGTCCTATACAGCGATTTCAGAACAGATGTCAGTCTATACCAAAAAGAATGAAGTTTTGATTTCCATCATGTTTCTTTTAGCCTCATTCATGCTTATTTTGGAACAATGTCACTTTGATCAACATGAGGATAATTTTAAAAAATGCAAGAAGAGTTTGGACAGGTTAAAATATTGTATGAAATGGGCAAATAAAATAAAAAAGCCATTTCACAGATGCTATGTGACATTCATTTCCGGGCAACAATTAAAGCAGAAGAAAAATACATACTGGGGTCGAGTCTGATGGACTGTCGAGCAGGATACCACTGAGGATCTGAAAGAGAGTGAAGCTGAATATTAGCCCCAGCAAAGAACACAACATTACGTAAGCTTGAAAATATAATATTACTGGTAAGGTAAATAATATAGCATTTGTTTTGTCACTGTTACAGCTAAATCTCATTTATGGTTAGAAATGAGTGTTATTAAATTTCCAAGTATCGAAAGGACTTATTGGCCATCTTTTCTGTGTCAAGACAGGACTTTGTAGATGCAGTGAAAAGTGTAGATATTAAAGCAAGGGAAACGTGGGCCAGAGTACACAACTGGAAAGTGTGGGAGTGTTTTTGGACTAAAAACATGAGGCAATTTTTAATGTCGAGTCATGGAGCTTTGGATCAAACTTTCTATCTGTGCTGATGAGACTGACAGTCAGGGACCTCTCAAGAGCAGCTGGACGATATTCTGGGATAGAGGAAAAGACCAGGATGGGAAGGAACTAAATTCTTCCCATCGCAAAGTGCTGATGCCCAGAAGTCCTAAATGTCAATCTATAGGTCTGGGTAAAAGGTTGTCCTTGCATCCCCCATCACCCAGTACTTACGGGATTTATGAAACATCCCCTTTATTTCTCCAATTGTGGCATTGGGCTCCACCTGCAAAGATAAGATGTTTGCATTAGACAGTGGCAACGTATGCACGTGCTTTGGCACCTGCAAGGCCACTGACACATGACTCTGAATGAAACAGTAAAAAAAAAAGTAGAACAGTATAGCTTAGAGCAGTGGTTCTTTTTGGACCAAGTACCACCCCTGATCAAACCAAAGCATCCAAGTACCACCTACAAGTCATCCCACAGGAACCACAGAAAATCTTAATGACCAACATGAGCACGCACGCGTACACACACACTCATATTATAAATATAATAATAAACTTTATTTGATATAATGCCTTTAAAGGTGGTTTCTCAAAGCGCTTTACAGAATTAAAACAGGAACAACAATAAAAAAGCACCGTTTCAGTGAGAGGGGTGAGCCTGTTTAGTTGAGCAAAGCAGATGTGAATTAATTGGTCGAGCTTTGATACAATTCACAACAGAGTGGCATTTTCTTGACTGCCAAGACCTTGCGGTGGATGCTGCAGTGCGCCCACTTCATATTTGGAGGAACTTCTGATTTGTGCAACTACACCGCTGTGTCGGCTTGTCATCACTCTAGCACCGTCGGTACAAACACCGACGCATTTTATCCAGTCGATTCCATTCTCTTCGATAAATTCATTCAGAAGCTGAAAGATGTGCTCTCCTGTAGTTCCTGTTGGTAGTGGTTTACAGAACTGAATGTCATCATGGGACATGCCCTCAAACTCGTATCTAACGTTAACAAGCAAGTTGGCCAAATCAACGACATCTACAGACTCATCTAAATGCAATGAAAAGCATCTGCTCATCTTAACGCGCTCCATCAGCGTACTTTTGACATTATCTGCCATATCAATAATTTTACGAGTGACTTAAAGGGGCAGCAGGTTGAGCTGTTTAACAGCTTTTTCTCCACACAGGTTCTTCACAAATAGTGTGGGGCGTAACTGCTTTAGAAATCTGCAAGCTTGCATTTTTCCCCGTTTATGTTTCAGGAGTCCATCTCAGAAGTTAAAAGAAGTTTTTATTTCATGCGCATGGGAGCAAAACACAGAGACGCTCTGTATTTTTCTCAAATTAACCTAGAACAGTCCTTAAATATTTTTCTGTTACCTATCACACTTTCCTGTGCTCACAAGATTGTCAGTGTTCCAAAACCATGCACATTCTCCTACCTCCCTATTTGCTGAAGATACCTTTTTTTTAATACAATTGCTCACTAACATTCATAGTACGCATTTCTATGCTTTCCTTTGCTTACAACATTGGCACTGTTCCAAAATCACGCACATTCTCCTGGCTCCCTATTTGCTGGAGATAATCTTTTTTAAAACAATTGGCCACTTACGTTCGTAGCATGCATTCCTTTTGGTATAGAACTACATGGTAACTCTTGTGTCCACCCAAGTATTAGCGCGCTGTATCATAGTACATAGGTTGCGTATTTGACACCTAAAGTCTTTTTATTAAAATAGAAAATATGAAAACCCATCTCAATTTTTCAGCGCACACAACAAATTTCCAGGGTCATCTGGCGTATCACCTGGGGGCGCTCCGTATCATAGGTTGACAACCGTGGGCCTTGAGTATGGTACACATACTGTATATATGGTGGAGCCTCTGCAGAAACAAGTTGTCAAGAAATTTTGATAAGTACCATTCTCCTTTAGGCTACAGAATGTATAGATAATATCCACAAAGCTCATTGACTAGCACACAGGCAACCGTGAAAGTAGGATATGATTGTGTTCTATTTATCAGTCAGGTCTCTTGTTAACAATATATTTAGCCAACATGATGATTAACTCCAAGATAATTGTTCTTTGATGCTTTGGCATTCTGTGACACCGATGACCACCCAAACAGTGCCAGAGGAAGCTTCCCACACAGGCTACTTGCTAATTAGCTTAATCTAATCACTGGAATGAGTTTTAATGGAAACACAATTCTTTTTACTTCTTTTTACTGCTGTTGAATGTTCTTCCTTTGTAATTTGCAAATGAGAGCATTTGTAGTTTTTAATGTTAGTGATTTTCATGTTTTTTTTAAATTACTCAATCATACATTATACTGACAGGTCTTTTGGAACATGCTGTAACACACCCCTTTCTACTAAATGTATTCATAGGCTTCAGCAAACGGCAATCAAATGGCAATACTCAGAAACAGAGTTCCACTCCATGACAACCATATTCTAAAATGCACACCTAAACAAACCTGTGAATAACACTACATACTACATAGCACTACCGCAGACACCAAAGAATCACTGTTGCGCATGAAAAGGTTTAAGTAAGAGAATGTGAATTTCAAAACATTAAGTACTATACAATTATCTCTTTAAAAATAAACAATTAAAACTTTTGTTATTTAACAAGTTCTACCAGAAATTTCAAACGGTAATGTTACAAGCTGAGGCAGATGTAATACCTTACAAGTGTCAATATTTCCACTTCCTAGAGCTTCAGATAAAGAGATGTTTACTTAGTTGTGCTGGGTGTGAGAAACACTGTCCAAAAGAATCTTCCGTTTACTTTAGTTAACTAAATTTTGGGTAAATGATTAAATGTCAATCAACAGTCCCAAAAAACACAATATTAGATCAGATCAAGAAAGAAAAGAGGAAAAAGAAAAAGGGCAGGTCAAGAGGAGACAGAAAAAGACAAAACATAAAGCTGGTGCCAGGAGTTCCTTGCTAGGAGAGCTTGAATTTCTGACTGAAGAATCCCTCACTTCAAAACTGCCTCTTCTGCTAACTGGTGCATTTTAGAATAGGGAGTTAGGCTCCCATTTATTTTGTGGCATTCGGGTTAGAGGGAGAGAAATGTAATTGAAGGGTGTATTTTATTTAGATTAGAAGGCAGCTTCTCCTTTCTTTGGCTTCTGTATCCATTATTTAACAGTCAAGTACTTGGTAGCAACCCTAGGGTTTTCTGGGTAGTCTGAAACACCTGGTATGTAAACTTGTAAATACAGTAAGTTGTGTGTTATATGTCTATGGTGTGTGTAGTGTGTGTTATGGTTATTGTTAATAAATATTTGTTTAACCAAGTGTTAACCAAATCAGCAGCCATATCACTCTGCAACTCACAACCCACTGAAGGTAAGCAGGTGTGAGCCTGGTCAGTACCTGGATGGGAGACCTCCTAGGAAACAGTAAAGTTGCTGCTGGTTAAGCTGTTAGTGGGGCCAGCAGGGGGAGTTCACCCTGCGGTCTATGTGGGTCCTAATGCCCCAGTATGGTGACGGGGACACTATACTGTAAACAAGCGCCATCCTTCGGAGGAGATGTAAAACCGAGGTCCTGACTCACTGTGGTTATTAAAAATCCCAGGGTGTCTCTTTAAAAGAGTAGGGGTGTAACCTGGCCAAATTTCCCATTGGCCCTTATCCTTATCCTAATAATCCCCATCTTGAATTGGCTTCATTACTCTGCTCACCTCTCCACTGATAGCTGATGTGTGGTGAGCATTCTGGCGCACTATGGCTGCCGTCGCATCATCCAGGTGGATGCTGCACATTGGTGGTGGTGCAGGGGAGTCCCCATTACCTATAAAGTGCTTTGAGTGGTGCATCCAGAAAAGCGCTATATAAGTGCAAGCAATTATTAATTAAGTGTACTTGAATTATTACTCTTTTCATCAAAGCTGTTCCAGAGAACAAATAATTCATGAGACTCTAACTATACCAACTGCTCGGGAATATTCTTGGCTGAAATCTTAGCAAGCTGTGGATTATGATAATTTTTTTTACTTATTTACTATTCTGCTTCGTCATTTCCTGATTTTCTCCATTTTTGTAACAATATTGTAGCTCTGTTAAGCAGGAAAGCACAATGTAAAATAAAAATGATTAGGTCTAGAAGGGGCCACAATGACTGCTTAAGGGAATACCAAGTAAAGCTTGTGTTTACACAGAGCTTGAACAGTTTTAACAGAGACAGCAGCATTTCTATATCCTGTGTAATATTTAACTAGCTCTTTAAAAACCTCTCTGAAAGCCCTGGTTATAGACTTAAATTTGCTTGGGTGTGATTTCTTAATCCTTCAAGCTAGAAATACATGGGAGGTCTCAGTTTGTAAGGCTTGAAATGGAACCAGTTATTTTGTTGGTTAACGTACTTTCTCTTGGGTTCAGTCTAGTGGGGTGCAATCAATCGACAATGTTGGTTAAGCTGTAATTTTGCCAAAGCTGTTAAAAGATTGCTTTTTTTTGGAGAAATTAAACATTTGCATATCTCATTATGTACAAACTACAATTACTGAAATGTACAGCACAGTCCTATTAAAGCAACATAAACAAGTATGTCTGCAGTACTGGGATGTTTGTTTTACGTTTACTATGCTTCTCAATTTGTGGTACTGTACCTGGCCAAGTACAAGGCTAAAATGCAGTGACAGAGCAGTGATGAACAATACTCATTGTTGCTCATTTCAGTGTATGACAGGGAAACAGTAATAATGTGTCAGACAGCCTAGACACTGGACAAACCTTACTTTTTCCAGCAAAACTCTGACACAACAATAGCCTATATTCTACAGTTTATACAGTATACACTATATACTACCTACAGTGGTGCTAGAAAGTTTATCAACCCTTTAGAATTTTCTGAATTTCTGCATTAATGTGACCTAAAATATGATCATATCTTCAAGTCATAAAATAAAGAGAACTCAAAACAAATAACACACGAAAGGATATTCTTTTTAAATTTATTTATTGATCAAAATGATCCAACATTAAATGTCTTTGTCGGGAAAAAGTATGTGAACCTATACTTTCAGTAACTGGTGTGACCCCCTTTAGCAGCAATGACTTCAACCAAATATTTATGGTAACTGTTGATCAGTCCCGCACATCAGCTTGGAGGAATTTTGGCCCATTCCTCCTTACAGAACTACTTCAACTCGGTGATGTTGGTGGGCTTTCTTGCATGAACTCCCTGCTTCAGGTCCGGCCACAACAATTCTATTGGATTAAATGAAAAGAAGGAAGACCCGGACAGACAGAGAA